TTCAAGCATTTTAAATGAGAAACAAGGAAAACGCAGATAGCTGCCATGGTAAGCTTCTAGCTTTGTCAGATTGTACGATTAGTTTCATTTCTCTGTAAACGTTCACATAATCAGTTTCTAAAAGAGTAACTCATTAATTCATCACGTATTCGAGCTACAGAGAAGCCGTATCGCATTCTTTCTTTCTTTTCTTTCTACATTTGTTTTTTTTTCTCTTTTTTTCTTTCAAGCACCCGTTGAGTGTGTACAAAGAAAATATTGTTATTTATCATTATTTATCAATATTGTTGAACTAGAGTCATTTTAAATGACTTCTTCTTCAAATAATATTTTACAAAACTGTTCAAATGAAACTTCAGTGGTTTCGGCTCCAGTCTCAACAAATATGATTATTGATTCACCAACTGTACCTATACAAAATGGACTTTCGTCCAATGGTTCATTTGATGGTTTCCAACAAGTAGAAAATAAAAGAAAAAGAAAATTAAACGTAAATTGGCGACATCTGCAATGAAGAAAAAACGTACACGTTAATCAAACAAATAGTATTTCAAAATCTGTTTCACCTTCGCCTGTCTTCTATACCGGTTCCGATTGCTGCTGAACTTTTACTACATAAGGTAGTTCAACAAGTGGGAGTTATTCATCATGTACAAGGTATTCAACCAGTTCAAAATATTTAAGAATTACAAGATATTCAACAAGTCTTAGGTGGTCCACAAGTTCGATGTGCTCTACCTTCATCTCATCCACAACAGATCTCAATCACTACTGAATCTACTCGTTATGCACAAACACGTTACCCCATTTCTCCCTTTATCACCAGGTTCAATGCTGGTAAGTTACATCAAATCAAATTAAAGAACGTTTAGCTGCTTATTGTAATCAAAAATATTAAATGGAAATCAAGATTTTAAATTGTCGCTTATCTAATAGAAGTTCCAACAATGAATATGATTTCCTTCTTTTCTTAAAAGATGCCTCTTCTTTTTCCTTTCTATTAGATCA